AGCAAAAAAACACCCAAAGTGCTAAGGAAGTAGGACCAAAATTCATTGGAACACTACTTTTTACTAAACCCAGTCATCTAAGCCTTACACACTACCTAACAAAGCCACTGGTGTTTGAGTTACTGTCAAGGGAACTTGATAATAAAACACCTTCAGTAATGGAAAACTTTAAACCAGCTATGGTAAGTATGACTTCTTTTTTGGGGGGAATCATAAAATAAAACTAAGTTAACCTACAAGTGCCATACTGAAACTTTTCCAAAAGTAGAAACCAAGAGGCCACTGTTTTGTCTGTAGGCTTTTTTTTTATTGTTGGTTAAGATTACGGGGTAGCTTTTTAGAGCATGAGACTTGCATTTTAAAAGTAATGTGACCTTATGTGTTGTTACCTTACACAAATTCTTAACACTGTAGGCTTAAATAAAATCCTTGCAAGACACTGAAAAGTCATGACAGAAACAAATGTTTTTTACGTGACTAGATTCCCCATGCTTTAGTGTCGATTGCTTGCATGCAAGCTCTGAAAATGAGAGAAATTAAGTGTTTTCTAGCTGGGAGGAGAAGGGCACTGTGAGTATTGCTGAAAGAACACTTATTTAAACACAGGTTAAGGATAAGCCTCCTCAGATGCTGTTTCTGCTGAATTCTCCTCTGTCATGGTGCCTACTACATTCCATTGCTTTTGTCTGGGCTTGGTATTTGGGAAATTTTGGTGAGGGCTGGAAGGTGGGGGGGCATGCTGGAAGCTGGTCAACAGTAAGGAGAGAAGGGCTGGTGTGGGAATTGTGGAGTGGGGTCAGGGTTTAACTTTAGTGGCCATTCATCAGATGATGATTGATTGCTGTGCAGTCCCGGGGGACGTTTAACAACATCTCCGCCCATCCCCCTGCCCCCTTTGAAAGCAGATGGACCAAAAAATGGGGAGAGCGACACCCAGGAATTCCTGCTGTTGTAAAATGTTTTTACGGTGCACTGTACAGCCTTTCCTGAAGCAATCACATTTATGGCCTTGCTGTTGTATTTCTTGGGCTGCTGTGGCTGTAAAAGATGAATAGCCCTGTAACATGGTTCACTGATTCTGTTTAAATTGAAGTAGGCTCCCTTTATTGTTTTGTGTCTAAAATTGTATGCCACCAATTCAGGAAATATTTCCTGTTTGGGAAGTAATCAACCCACAGCTGATTTATTTTAAAATAAATCACTTTTAACTATCTCTAAAACTAGTCCTCTCTTCCTTCTGACTTCTATCTTCATTTAATTCTGTTGGAAATTCTAAAATACTAATTAACGTAGTGGAGCAGTTTAAAAAAAAAAGCTACTTAACTTGCTTATTAATCTTCTTCCCCTTACTGGATCGTTAACAAAATGGGTGTTGGAAAGGCAGCGGGTTTTATCTTAATTATATTTTTACTTAATTACTTAATAATACTACAGAAAGAAAGAATTCATGAAATGCAGTTCCCACTGTTAATTTTTTTGAAAGGAGAAGTCTGTCTCTGCTTTCTCCTTTCTTTCCTTGCTGCCCATCAGAACACTTGCATGGTTTGGAAAAACAAGCATTATTTGAAGGTGTTTGCTTATAAACCATTTTTTCATACATTTGGGTAAATAGTGAAATTAACAGGACAATAGTTAATTTACAGCTTGATAGATCTTTTGGTTTGTATCATCTTTGCCTCTTCAGATGTGGAGGGGGGAACTTACAGGACTTTTCTCTGAAGTACTGTTATGTGGGGTTGGTTTGTTTGTCTTTTCTGGTGGGTTTTTTTTGGTTTTTTTTTTTTTTTTTTTGGGTATCTGGGGATTTTTTTTTTTTAATTTAAATCTGAGTATCAGAAGTTGATGTCTGCTAAGGAAGGCCTAGTATTACTCTTCCATTTCCTCCTACTATTCCTGCCTATCCACACTTAGATATGAGTCCTGTTATTTGTCTTACAATGAGCATAGGAAGAGCAGGATGATGCTATAGTAACAGTGCAAATGAAATGTAGGGTGGCCTTCTCACATTGCTGAAATTGGAAGAAGGGGAAACTCTGCCAACATTTTAGGTACGCTGTACGTGCATCAGATCTGAGCTGAGAACACATTTGTGGATTGCCCTACATATATTGTTGGTATGATTTTTACAGGGAGTTGCTTGTTTGGTGGGTGGGGGCTGAAGGGGGAGATTTGGCTTCCTCTCCTCCCTCTTCCCTTCCCCCTCCCCCCATTTAGAAACAGGCACAGAAACTTAATCTAGCAGTATGTGACCTTTGTGGCCATGACCTAGGGACTGGGATGTGAGCAGGCTTGAGCTTAACAGTAAATGCCTGGTTGTGGTTGGAAGCACAGGCAAGCTGGATGCTGTGCCCAAGCCCCTTAGCCCAACTGGCACAAATCCCTCTCCCTGTTGTGCCCTGCACATCTGGGGACTTCTCAGTTTTATTCTCTGGGAGTGTGCCCCCTTTGCTGGGTAAAGCTGATGTACAGCCTGTAGGATGCTCCTGACAAGTATGTGAGATTGACCACAGGAGACTTGCCCTTGTACCTCTGCCAAGTTTGGGGATTCTGTTGTAGTCTTTGTGTGCAGAAAGGAGTTTCTGAGGAGTTGCTAGTTGGTCTTGAAGCTGGCTGACTTTAAATTCTCTTCTGGTGACTAGCTCCCTACCCCACTGAGAGCAGTAGGGGTAACACATTTGTGCTTTTGCATATGTTTAAGGTAACAGTGTAATGATGGAGGTCCATCCATCACGGTATGCTTCTTTTTGCCCAAGCCTGTTAACTCTTTTGCTCTTAGATTAAATCTAGGTTGTTTTTACTGGTTTTGTTTTACAAAGAAACAAATGTGAGGCTTTATCAATGGCTCTGTAGTGTTTACCCAAGACCTTCCCCTGCTATGTCCTATGTAATCTACATATTTCTGAAATGAGATTATGGCTCTTGTCACTCTTCATTCTAAATTTAAGAGTGATATTTCCCACTGCATTTTGTTGGGTGACAAGAGGCAAATGAACAGCTTAAACTTGGTTTTTCTTTGTCCCAGTGGATGCTGTTACCTTTCATCAGGAGTGCCTGGGGTGACTCCTTGCAGCAGGAGTGACCAAGCTTTTGCTTCTGGTATTGACTATTGTGGAGGAGTAATAACAGATTTGATTTGCTTCTGGTCTTCTGTCATATGGTCACCATTTTCCTTTCAGCTGCTCTACTTGACTGAGGCCCCAAATCCCTGCTGTATGTTTTTAAAGTATATCAGATTCATATGACTTTAACTTGATACCCTGTCTTGGTTTTCATTCTCTCTCAACTTCTCAGTTGTCTAAGTGGAGTTATTTGGGCATATGTAATAAAAGTTCCCTGTAATTTCAACAGAAAAATTACAGAACTGCATGTGCAAGTGAACATTGTATACAGATTTAGACAACTGCTGCGTAAAGACAAGGAGGCCTCTAGCTGAGGAAGATGATGCATTTAAGCAATGCATTTTGGAGCCAAGGCAGCTTTTCACTTGGTAAAGTCAGAGATTCTGAGATACTTACTGCTTGAAGGTTTACTATTTGAACAGAAGCAAAACATAAGTCCGTTCAGTTTCCCTACAGTAAAACTTAACTTTAAGAAAAACAAGGAGTTTTAGTAAAATCTGACATATGCGCACAAACGCACACATAACCCTTTGAGAAATTAATCCATGTACCACTTCAGCTGTTGCACTTACAGGAGCTTAAAATGTCACTTTATGCAGCACAGGCAGTCCAAGGGAATCACCTGTCCTGTCCTTCCCCTTCCTTTTGAGGGAGAACAGAAAGGGGGATGTTATGCACCATATCACAAGCTGCTAGCTGGAATTGGGACTGGCTGGATGACAGCTGGGAGAAGACAGGCATATCAAACACATGTCCAATCTTTGTTCTGCTCTTGCTCCTTTCTGTGAGGTAGATTTGAAATATCTGGTGATGGAAAAGTTGTTTGTAGAACAAAACCTTGTAACATTGTACTCTTCCACGATAATCTAGATTTTCTGACGTTATGCTGTTGAGAAAAGTAGTGTATGTAGTTAAGGGCAAGACTTCAATACAGAACTTTCTCATGTTGAAGTGTTGTACTCATTCATTTGCATCTTTGAAAACAAAAAGCAATACAGCTGGCTTCTGCTCCCCTGTAAGACAATACATGTCCATGGAAGATGCTAATTCTGTGTGCTACTTCCCTCTACTGGATGGAATGGAAACAGTTACAGCTGATGAATGAATCCAGCTTTCTAGGCTAACATCTTGGTGTAAGACTTTCATTGTGATTTGACTGTAGGGTTTGTAAATGCTTTGTGAATAGAATGGGGTATTAGTGGTTACCCACAGTTCACTGTGGTATTCAAATGATGGGCATGCTAAGGTTCCAGTCTCTTCCAGCTCGAGCATCTTGAAGCATCACTAGCATGGTAACACCGTCATAGCAAAGGTTTTTTGCTTTGCTGTTGGGAGTGGCAGGGGGGCAGTTTTGCCTAATATTGTTGCTGCCCTGGACATAAGGGATTTGCATATTTTGAAAACATAGAGGATGGTTTTCTGCATACATGATTTTGTTTTCTCTTTATTGGGGAGTGGGAGTGCTGGTGCTGTGTTTCTCCAGTGTATTGATTATTGAATGACCCACTTAAGAGAATGTGGTGTTTGTTTATGCAGGAAAAGTCTTCACCTGAAACTTGCCTTAGATGGCATCTCCAATCTGCAAGTGTTGGCAGATGGCTTCCGCTCTTAAGAGGAGCTGTTGTGGACACTCTTCCTACTATTGTATTGCAAAGAAAACAAGGATACTTCCATCTAACTGTTAGGGTATGATTTGGAGTTTACTGGGAAGGATAGCTCTTCCTCTGTGGAGAAACTATTGTGAGGTCTTTGCCTATTGCTACTGCCTCTAACCATCTCCTTTATAGTTGAGCTTTTGGATTTTTTTTTACATTCTGGTTCTGTTTTCTTTTTAATTCTTCATTAAATAATGATACAGATTTCTTTTTTTCCTCCTTAAAGGTACTGCATTTCTACTGTGATACCTGTTCTGTCCCCATATGTCGTGAATGTACCATGGGACGACATGTGGGTCACAGCTTTATCTACCTCCAAGATGCCCTACAGGATTCCAGGACTCTCACTATTCAGCTCCTGGCAGATGCTCAGCAAGGACGACAAGCTATTCAAGTAAGATACTCCCAACTTGAGTACTTTATTTCCCCCTCCTTCTCCCCCCCCCCAGCTTGTCTGTTACAGGGCAAGGTGTCAAGGCAAAAAGCTCTCTGCTTCTGCTGTCAGTCTTCTCACCCCTTCTGTTTTCTCAGATCTCTGACAGAAGTGGTGGTGGAGCTGAAAATAAAGTGCTGTTATGAGTTTTGCATTCTTGCAGCATAATCCTGTCATGTAAATCACAATATATATGAAGCTCTGTAAAAATGCACTTGGGTGTGAAGCATTATGAAGAAAGCTCTGGTCTTGTGTAGCGGTGCCAAACCCGGTTTTGTTTTTATCACGAAGACTTCTTTTTAGCATCTTTCCTGCCTGTACAGCATCTAGCACTTTAACTACCTTTGACTAGTTATGTCTTAAGTGTTGCCACCAAATACAAAATACTAATCAGCTGTTGGAATTAGTGTGAAATTTCTAACCTGCATGTGCAGAGACCATCTAGAGCAATCTCCGTTCAAGGATTACTCTGCACACAGAGATGCATAGTATGCCTGTTATTCTATTCTACCTCAGCTATGTTTAATAATGCAAATATAAATATCTGGAATGAGGGTAGTATAGTGCTTCAAACTAGAAAAGGAATTTACACAGGGAATTAAACTGCAGTGGCATGTAGATACTTACTTACTTTTGTTGAGTAATACCTAGCAGTAACTACTGTGATACTAGCAGTAATTTTATTTGTATAGATAGACTTTGGATCTGGAAAGCATAGTGGGAAACTTCACTCCGTATCTACTGCCTTGTAGTTTTGTGAATCTCATGTTCTAAACTTGAGCTGGATATAACCAAACTCAACAGTTTTATGTGCTTTAACTAATAAGATTTTTTTGAGTAAACGTTTGTAGAATGTCATGGATAGGAAGTAGACTAACTTTCTGAATTAGGTGTGCTTTCCTGGCACATGCATGGTATAAACAATAATTAAAATAGACCAAAGCTCACTGTCCACCCGTCACTGCTTTCTAGTAGATGAGGGAAGTAAACTTGTTCCATGGGACAGGAGCAGCTAACCCTTTGGTCATTAATCTTTACCTCTGTGGAATGAAATAATACTTGATGGTATAGATAGTAAACAGTTGTTGGTGTCTCCGTTTAGCTTGCAATGTTAACTTGTTACAACAGAACAGTAAACACCAAGTTTTTGCAGGTGGGTGGTTAATTTAAAACTCTACCTTAAGGCAGAGTCCTGCAAAACTTAATTTCTTCCAATATTTGTTTTAATCCGAATCATAAGGCTCACCAGCAGTATCCGTACTGTCCCCAAAATATCCCATATGTCCCCAAAAAGAAAGAGATTATGCTAGTTTAAAGATCATCAGAGTTCAGTGTAGTGGTGTAGTGTTCTGAATTTCTCCAGGCTGTCCTAGACAAGGGCTTGTCTGTTAGTAATTAAATTATTGCTTTTGACCTCCAGGGCTCTTAATCATCTAACAGGTGAGGCTAAATCACTGAAGAAGGGACTGTGCCTTGGAGTAAAAACGAGCAGAGATAGCATTGAGTACCACTCTGCTAGTATTGCATGAATGCTCTTGTGCCTGGTTTCCTTCCTACTGAGTTTACTTTGTGCGGTCCTTCCCCATTTTCTTCTGGCTTTTATGGTGGAGGCTCCTGCCATTGTGGTGAGCTGATTATTGCGTTGATGGGGCAGATAAAAGGTGATGGTACTGGTTATGTTCATGTAGCTCGAACAAGCAGTTCTACTGAATTTAAGTTTGTACAGTTTCGCCCTGGTCTCACTACACAGCCCAGCCAGGTGAAGAGGCTATCTTGGAAGTGTTAAATGGGCATCTTGTAAAGATCCGTAAAATGAACCATGCTTTCAAGAGCTGAGTTATTTTATTGGTTTAGTGGGCTTTTTAATCTGGATCACTGTAAAAAGAAGGGTAGTCAGCAAACAGATTATAAATTTGAGTGGGTGGTAATCTGTATGTGCATATGCAGGAATGGGAAGATTGTTCAGTTCTAGACAGCTACTGCTGAAGCAACATCAGCAGCAACTAAAAGAGCACGTGACTTAAAATCGAAGGTGCCCAATTCAAAGGGTTGATGCAATGAAACTGCATCAAGTTTACATAAAGCAGAACTTTCCTTGTTGAGACAACAGGACTGTGAAACTATAAGTTCATCCTAGGGAGGAAGACAGCATGTCAACATGAATTTGAAACAAACTCTGAAGTTAACTAGACTCTAAATTAAAAGAAATTGGCTTGTGTGGTTTTCTTAAAGTATGGAAATAGTCAACAGAGAATTAAATGCCAGTATAAGCTGTAATATGAGGAACATATTACTTTAGAGCTCCTCTCAGACTGGAGCTCTAAGAGGCTTGAAAAGTAATATGTTGTAGTAACACTTCTTAGTTTGACTGATTCCTAATGCTGTACTAGAAACTCTTAATAGGCTCTGAAAGTGATAGCTCCCCTGACATGAGATGTTGAGGGTGGATGAGGAGGAGTAGTTGAGAGTAAAGGGGAAAAGGTGGAATTTGAAGGGCATTGCAGGAGAGAGGAAATCAAGCCATGAGTCAACTGGCTGGAGAGTATCTGGTTAACCAAAGTTGAAGGCTTTTAGGAAGAAATGTTTATTTAAACTCTTCCTGTGGCTTTGGAGGAAAGATTGTTTTTCAGACTTAAAAAATTTGCTGTGAGTTGGGATACATTTCAGCCTCTTGATCCACTGAAGCCTGATGTAGTCTGTCACTCCAGAAAAGTCCAAACCTCACTTTTCAAAGGAGTCGAAGTCCTCTGTAAGAAATAGCAAGCCTTGATAAGCAAGTGGCTTGCTCTTTTTTTTTTTCCCTCAGTGAAATTCTGTAGCAATGGAAAGTTTTCTCTGCTTTCCTGTGCCATGATGGTTGGAATCATGCATTTCTAAGCCTGTCCCTAACACAAGAATTTGTGGTTGTGTGCCTGTGTGGTGAGTTGATCCAGCTGAATGGGTAACCTTTCCGTGGGATTAATTTTTGGCTGGGTCAGCCCCCTGGCTGATTCACTATACTGCTACAAGGACTGTTGATGGTGCCAGGGAATGAAGCAGAAACACCCAACTCAGTTGCTTGTAGGACCTCTTTTCTTATCTCAGTGGAAACTTATCCTCCTTGCTGGGATACTTTTCCAGCCTTTTCAGAGACTCAGATGGATTCATAGGATGATATGAAAGCCAAAGCTGACACTGGATTAATGAGGTGGGAGGAATCGGGACTGCTTGCTGCCTTTCTATGCGGGGAGCATGTCCTGCTGCCTTGTTTTACCTCATGAAAGTGCACACTTAGCTGTCTTCTTTCAGATTTTTTTCCAAGGACTAGGTCACAAACTGAACGTAAATCTGTTATGATGAAAGATAGATGGCTTCTTCAAAATGTCACGTTCTTAAAATACATCTATACGTGTGTAACTGTATATATGTATGTATGTATGTGTGTAATCTAATGCACTTGCCTAACAGTAAAGCACTGAGTGCTCACTCCCATTTAGGGTTAATTTTCCAGGTGAACATATTACAATAAGATTTGATTTATTCATCTCAGTTGTCTTAAAAGTGGTTTTGTTGGAAAACAAACAAATTCCTTTATAACTGAGCCTATAATTGGTTTTGCTGGGATGTTTGACAGTGCAAGCTTCTCACTGACCAGTGAGACTGGTCATGTGCAGAACATAGTGGGAGCTACTCTCTTATCTACCGTCATGAAAAGCTTAGGAGCGGGTGGTAAGGCAGGTCAGACATTAAGGCAATGCCTCTTCCCTCCCAAATTGTGGAGGAGGTGGTATGAAATAGATTAGCGCCTTTATGGGGGGCGAGGGGATACTGTAAGAAACTCAGCCAGCCAGAAGAGGAAGCTGATCTGTTGCCTTGAGCCTCTGCCCTTCGGTGGAAGCCTCCCTGTGGGTTGCCATATGGATTTGTGCTACTGGGAGGTCGATACCTGAGAAGGATGGCACCGCTGTGCTGCAAGGGGTCGTTTTTGGGTTGTCACTTTGAGTTAGCTCAGGCCCCCTTGTGTGTGGCTTTGAAGTCAGGTTTATGGGTTTGAGAATCTGAAATGAAACTTCGTAAACAAAATGAAGTCAATTGTGCTTTTCTAAATCTGGATTTTTATCAATAGAGGCTGAATTTCTTCGTACTTCTAGTTATTGTGTTGTATTTCAGTGGGTTCCTTAGTGCAGCATATGAGCAGATGGTTATTGGGGAAGATGAATTTGATGTGTTTCACTGTCCGAACTACTGTTCTGCCTAAAACTGTAGGCAAAAAGTCTGGTTTTGCCATACAAACCAAAATGATTGTTTAGTGGTATCTGACATGAGGTTACCTGGCCTCTAGCCCTCCCTCCATCAAAGCTTCTCTTAAAATTGTCTTTGTGGGGAACTTGAAGAATGGTTTAGTGTTTTATGCTTATTACGCTGAAACACGTAAATTGGTCCAGCTACTGTGATCTGTGCTATATCTGCACCAATATTACTGCAAATGCACTGCTTAGCTTGTTAATACTAGTCTTTACTGTAACTATACTCTGTAGGATCTTCCAGTTAATTTTTCTAGTATAAGAACGTTAGGAAATTTATATCCAGTTCTTGATGCTGAAGGAAGACTGCTGTTATGTCCTGGTTTTATCCTGCTCTGAAACAGTGATAAGTAACTGGAAACTTAGTGAAACAAGCCCATTGTATCTTTTTGTTACCATAAGGAACTGAAAACAAACCATTTATGGCTGGAACACCTTCCATTTGGTGGAAGAGGGATAACTTGAGACATACCAAAAGGTTTCCTTGAGTGGTTTGGTTTTTTGTTTTGTTTTTTTCTTTGTATTATTATTTAACATGCTTTTAAAAGCCAGAGAGGAGTTTGTTGATGAATAGGCTTTTTTTCCCCCCTTAAGCAGGGATAACTTAGTCTTAAATTCCTTGAAGTGTAAATCCTCCCTAGTGATGTAGGGAAGTGTATAGTTAAGATTCTTTAGCCAATACCTGTGGTCCATTCACCCCTGAAATATTGAAGAATTCCTCAGAAGAAAACAAAATTTGCTTTTAAGTTTGAATTTTCTCTCCAGTGTTTGCACCTTCGTTGGAAAACTTAAAATAGGAGACTTAAATATAGGAATTAATGCCTGAGATATTATGCATCCATCTCTTCTTCAGATGGGTGGAATAAAAAATCCTAGGGACCTTTTCAAAAATGTTCACACAAACCAGCATTGCAATACAGTTACTATAAAGCAGCCTTTACATGTTTCATGGTGCTGGTACAGTGGCATGTTGTGCTGCAGTTTGTTCAACTGGATAATTTTCAGAACTGAATTGATGTAATCTATCATCATGGCTCAGCATCTGGATTAACAGGCTCTGCTGTTTCAGAGACCTAAGTTAACCTCTTCAAATAACCGTGTGCTGTGTGGACGTACTGATTTAGTTGGAGTATTGGACAGTGGAAACCATGCAGTGAGAGCATCAGCACCCTTAAAGTCACTCTGTTCTTGTTTGTAGTCTGTCAGAACACAAGCTTTGTAATAGTTTTTTCTTTCTCCTGAAGTGTTACGTGTTTCCGATCATAATTTTTAATTTAAAGAACCGGTAGCGAAAACTTGGAGCGGCGATATTTCTAGAACACTAAATATTCCATGGGAATGTTTAAGTTAACATGAAATTGTAGGAAGTTTTTTGTAACTTGAGGGTCCATTTCCTAATGTCCAACAGCAGAGAGGAAGTGTGAAAACTGACCAAAACTGCCATTCTACAGAATGGCAAGTCCTGATTTGGGCCCCTCTGTGGTCAGCCCAGTTCTACAATGCTACTTTGCTTCTTCTGGCTCTTGCAGTTGGTTTATTCATAGATTTGTGTTGTAGCATCAGTAGCTGTGTCCGTGTCACTGTAGTAAGATCATTACTACTTTTTCCCTCAGGCAATAAAATGTAGATGAAGGGGATCTCACGGAGGTGCCCACCTAAAGGGAGCTTGCAAAGGATGCCTGGGTTCCAATACAACTTTGCCCTTCACTTGTTACTCAAAACTGAAATGTGCTGGTAGCAATAGCTAGTAATGGATGTCCACACTGCTTTCCTTCATGAGAACAGTTTTGTCTGCTCCACTGGAAGCTCCATGTGCAAAGTTTCCTTGTGTTGTGGCCCTCTGGAACCATATCACCTGCATAAGCACTGTTGCTACTTAAATTTTACTCTGAGGAATTAGAAGTACCATTTTCAACCCTAAAGTTTACAAGATACATTGCAAAGTGTTTTACTTGTTTTTAACAAACACAAGGCACTGGTGACATCTAATAAAATAAAGGAGTGGTATTGGCTGTCTTTGGAACCTTGAGAAACCACAAGTGAATAGGCACAGCTGCAAATAGGCGATTTACTGTATTGGCCAACAGCAATAAACAAAGCAGTTGTTCTCCATCTCAGATTCAATAACTCAGCACAATTCCTGGCTAAACACAGGCCTTGCCTTCTATCTCCCAAGCATGTGAACTGGTTGACCATCTTATTCACTAGCGCTGGAAAAATCATGACATACCATGAGGAGAGTGCATCATAAAGGCAGTTTTCCTTTACAAGAAGTTATTAAAAAGATTCTGTGGTGTTTGACCAGAACAAGAAACACTGCTGCTTAGCATGTTTCCTAAAAAGTTGACCTCTCTGAGACAAGTTCCACACAGGAAATGCCTGCAGAACAGCAGGAGTGAGTTTTCGTGGCGGAACTCTGACATCTTACAGGAATCAAAGTGAACAAGGGATTTCCACGTAAAGTAGGCTCCCAGAATTTATACTTAATGCTCTTGGCTTTTGCTTCAAATATAGATAACTTGTCTATTGCTATTCCCCCCCACCATACCTCTGCATATTTGGTCAGCTGGTCATCCTTCCTAGGCTGTTCTAGCCTAAATGAGCAGAGTCCAGAATCATCTGAATTTTACCAAAGCTTTACTAGTATCCTGGACAATATTAGAGCTTTAGTGTTTTGGGCATCTCTCACTGATCTGAGCTGTTCATACTTGGGCAAGTAAAAATAAATTCAGATGATGACATGAATTGTTGATGGACAACCTTGTGCTATTGAGTTTAGCTACTTGCCCTACCCATAACTGGTTCTTAAAGTTGGAAGATTGCAGCATCCATGGGGAATTGCTACCTCTCCTGCTATGGTGGAGTTCTTGAAAGGTGGACTCTGGTTTTAGTGGAGAATCACGAGGGAAGTTGGGATTGCTCTTATCTGTAAGGTAGGAAGGAAGTATATACACAGATCATGGTTCTAATGGGTACTGCTATACACAAAGCACAAATAAGTAACCCAGACTTTCATGCTTTCACAGACATCCTTGTTAGAACTGGAATATGACAGCATAGCACAACACTTCTCAGGGAGATGCACCTTTCTCTTTGTAAGAGAATGAGGGGATTTTGCCCTACTTGATGGGAATCCAGGTCTGTTTTGGAAGAAATGCATACCTTTTCCCTGCAGTAGAAGCAGGTTCTGTATTGGAATGGCAAAGCAGAGGTGACAGAGGCACAGTATTCTTACATGTGGACTCTTCCAGCTAGGCCTGAGGTTTACTGGCTCTTACGAAGCCCTAATCTGGGGCCATTTCTGACTTCATTTGCTAAATGTGTAATGAGATTTTAATTTTTTGTCAACTTTAAGTGTTAAGTCAAATTTGCCTGCCAGAAACTGTGAGAAAGGCAGGTTGAGGTCTACCTCCAGTTATGAAATGGACTAGTTCCTCAGATGTGTAAGAAAAAGATAAGATTTGCCTGCTTTTTTTATTTGATTTTATGCCTCTGTCTGTAATATTCTATGAAACTGCGAGTAGTTTGGGAAGGATTTTTTTGAGGAAACAGTTCTTAATTTGAGAGGAGAAGAGAGATGTATTCCTTTCAGGTGCATTATGCATATTTGCAAAATACTACTACAGAATTTTTTCAAATACTAGTATTGCGAGGTTACACTGGAAAGAATTTGGTCTCTGAGTTGTAAACAACTGTATGACTGCTTTTTAATGATAACTGTCCGATCTTTGATTTTTCTTTTAAAATTGATTAACTTCACGTTCTGTTAGGGGTATTTCAGATGCATAGACAACATAGTCTGTTACCTACAGTGTAATTTCTTACTGGAAGCAGACCCATCACACAGTGAGAGTCTGAACTATTTGGAGGGAGTAGACAAACCGGGTTTTCTATATGTAGTAAAACATAAGTATGAATTCCTGTGCCAGTCTCTTGTTTGCCATACTAGCTGCTTGCTGGAATTGCACAGGGAATTTAGTCCTAGGGTGTTGATGCATGATACATTGAAGGTGTAAACTCCATGTAATAGATGTATTTAAAAACTAATGTCAGTCTTTAGGCTCCAGTGTATGAAACGGGTGAAGGCCTGATAAGAAAGTAAGAGTTGTCACTTTATGCCTTCACTTGAAGGTGTAGTGAAATGTAAGCAGCAGTCCTCTGATGCATTTTTAATTGGTTTGGTTGAGCCTTAAGTGTGTTTGCCTTTTTTTTTCTCCACAGCTGAGTATTGAACAGGCCCAGGCTGTGGCGGAGCAGGTTGAGATGAAAGCGAAGGTGGTACAGTCTGAAGTCAAAGTCGTGACTACTAGACATAAGAAGGCCTTGGAAGAGCGGGAGTGTGAGCTGCTCTGGAAGGTATGCACCCTTACATTTGTGGTTTGTACTGCTGACAAGTGCCTTTTCAAACTGAAAAAGTACTTAAACTAGTATATGGTCAGAATCTGATATCCAAGGAAAACTGAATCGAAACACTACAATTTACCATGGATTATTTTTTCTGTAGGTAGCAGGGTGCTGGGTTCTGGCCCTGGTTGATATTGTGCTGGAGGTTTTTGTAGGGGCTGCTGTATCCTCAGAGCAGCCCCACACATGAGGTGGGCACTCCCCCTGCTGGCTCAGGAGCTGGCCAGGGAGATCCCTTTTAAACACCATGTTTAAAGAAACTCTTCAAAACATCTTTAATATGTTACTGTAGAATTAGGTATATAGTGTTTGGGTTTTCCAGTCCACTTCTCATAAAGGACAGGAGCAAAGCTGTGTATGTTGCCCTTTTTTTTAAAAAAAGACTAATAGAAATTCTGTGAGACTAACTTTCATTGTGCCCATAACTACAAACCTTTACTCTTAATCAAGGTAGTGTCTTCCCTCCGATTATTTTTTTTTTTTAACTAGTATAACAAAAGAATACTTTCCAGCAAGAGTATCTGCACAATGCCAAGCTCATGGCCTAATTTCAACCATGATGCACGTGTGGTATTTTGAGAGGAGGAAAGGAAGTAACAGCCAAGTTCCTTATTCCGGAAAGGTAACTTAGTGGTTGTGGCTCTTCTCTGCTTGTTTAGCACAGATTAGCTTGGATAGGCCCTGTGGGTCCCACTTGCAGAATTGAACAGAAACACTCTGCTGTAGGATTAGGACTCTTAGATAAGTGAGTCAAGCTGACTTGTCCTGTGACCACATGATTGCTAGGACTATTAAAGGGGAGCAAAAAACGTGTGGTCAAGATGGGAGAGGTTTATGAGTAAACTGAGAATGCTCCTATAATAAGCAGTCACACCAGACAGTGTGGCTGGAAACCAGGTGCTGTGTGGCTGCTGCCTGTACTAGCAGGGCCAGGCAGGATAGCTTGTACATGTCCTTGATGAGGCACATGTTGCCCAGAAGCAGTGCCATCCTGCTAAAGCATTTCTCCCCTCTTCTCCATCAACATTAACTGAAACAGTAATTTTCTGGTTTAATATCTGTTGTCAGCAAAATGGCTAATCTGGTAAGAATTCATGGTGTGGAACTGCTCTAGCTACAGTGAGACTAATCCCCTACAGGAGAAGTTTTGGTTTTCTGCAGTTCTTTTTATAAGTGTCAGTGGCAAGATTAAAAATACACTTTATAGAGTTACTGTACTTCTAATGCTGCTTTTTCTGAGGTTTTGTATTGAGGGAGACAAGTTCACTTTCCACTATTAACCTTCTCCAAGAAGCTTGGCAGCTTTCTCTTTTGAGGTATTCCTAGTATAGGAGGAGTAAGAACTGCCCCTAAGCTATTTTTATCCCAAGAGGTTGTATAAATGCACTTCATTGTAATATCTGCACTGATAGCAAGTTTTCTTCAAGTTATAAAACATTATTTTAAGATGGAAACTTGGTGATGGTGGTAAATGATTCTACCAAAACAAGCTATCCAAGCCCTTAAATCAAGTGTGTTAATGAACAATTTCGGATACCAAAGCTGAGTCTAAGGATTGAGCTGAGACCTAAGATTAGTAAGTTGTCTTGGAAATCTGTTGGAGGAAGCCTCTCTAATTTTTTTTTAAATAGTTTGGTAAAACCTGCATGCCTGAACGTTAAATGAAATAGTATGCTTGTACATATGTTATCTAGACAGTGCATAGCCAAGGAGTCTTCAGACATTGAGTCTTCCTTTATTAAAATACATATCAGGTATTGTTCTGCAGCCAAGTAGGTATTCAGACATCAATGTATTTTTGCAACAAAAAAGCAAATACATTTCATTAGTTTCACAAAGCAGGTGTCTTTGCCAGATGGTCCAAAGTGGTTTTTCACAAGTAAAGATAAACAGAGGCTTATATAAAGGAGTTACAAGCCAATCGTTTTTGCACAAACTTCAGTCCCCCAAACAGGGACTGGCAGCAACCTTCTGTGTCATTTGAATTGACATTTACAAAGCATCCTGTTGTAGAGCATGAGCTCAGTATGACTGCCAGTATTTATTTACAAGAAAATATTAAAATAATAGGACCCTAAAAATCCCTGGAGATAGATGTCTGGTATTGCTAGTCGGATGAAAACGTTGCTGGCAGGCAGGGGAATGACAGGAGCCCACATGCGTTAGCTGATGCTGACTCTGAGCCTCAGCTCTGTGTGATAACAGTCCACTTTCTGAGGTTGGTCTCAATTCTGGTTAGCGAAGCCTCAGCCTCTGCTCCTTCTTGAGAGCCTGCAGTAACCTCTGTTCTCCCTGGGGGCTAAATGAGATGTGCTTTCAGTTGATCTGTCAAATACCTTGCAACTAGAAAACAGAATAGCATTTGAGGAAGCAAATATTTATTAGTAAGCAAGTGACTCTCCCTTTCAACTGGCACTCTGCAGCAGATCTGCAGGATAAGAATGTATGGTTTTGCGTGGAGGGTAGGAAATAGTAATAATCCTGAATTTGGATAATTAATTACTTTTCCTCATTTCTACTTGTCTACATTGTGGCTTTTGGAGGTTTGTTCTGCAGCTGTGTGTCAACATGCTCTAACACCTGGTCAGCTGTTTTTATGTAGAAGGGTGACACTAGGTAATGTCTGTGGTGTGGGCTGTCTTTCCTAATGTAAGTGTGCTTTTCTCTCTCCCTTGTCCCCCGCAAGGTGGAAAAGATTCGTCAAGTCAAGGCTAAGTCACTCTACTTGCAAGTTGAAAAGTTACGTCAGAACCTAAACAAGCTGGATAACACCATTAGTGCTGTTCAGCAGGTCCTGGAGGAGGGTCGTACCATGGATATTCTTCTGGCTCGGGACCGCATGCTGGCTCAGGTGCAGGAGCTGAAGAATGTGAGAGGCCTTCTCCAGCCACAGGAAGACGACAGGATCATGTTCACTCCCCCTGACCAGGCATTGTATATGGCCATTAAATCAATGGGCTTTGTCAGCAGTGGGGCTTTTGCTCCTCTGACCAAAGCCACTGGGGAAGGTCTCAAGCGTGCGCTGCAGGGCAAAGTGGCCTCTTTCACCGTGATCGGCTACGACCACGATGGTGAACCTCGCCTTTCAGGAGGCGACATGATCTCTGCAGTGGTGATGGGCCCAGATGGAAACCTTTTCGGGGCAGATGTCAGCGATCAGCAAAATGGGACCTACCTGGTCAGCTACCGTCCACAGCTCGAGGGAGAGCACCTGGTGTCCGTGATGATGTGCAACCAACACATTGAGAACAGCCCCTTCAAAGTGGTGGTGAAGTCTGGGCGCAGCTACATAGGCATTGGGCTGCCGGGGCTCTCCTTTGGCAGCGAGGGAGACAGCGACGGCAAGCTTTGCCGCCCCTGGGGGGTTAGCGTCGACAAAGAAGGCTACATCATTGTTGCCGACCGCAGTAATAACCGCATCCAGGTGTTCAAGCCATGTGGGACCTTCCATCACAAGTTTGGCACGCTGGGCTGCCGGCCAGGACAGTTCGATCGCCCTGCCGGCGTGGCCTGTGACATTTCGCGTAGGATCGTTGTGGCTGACAAGGACAATCATCGCATCCAGATCTTCACATTTGAGGGGCAGTTCATTCTGAAGTTTGGGGAGAAAGGAACGAAGAACGGGCAATTCAATTACCCATGGGATGTGGCCGTCAACGCAGAGGGCAAGATTCTGGTCTCTGACACGAGGAACCATCGCGTTCAACTGTTTGGGCCCGACGGCGTGTTCCTTAACAAGTATGGCTTCGAAGGGGCACTCTGGAAGCACTTTGATTCCCCCAGAGGTGTGACTTTCAATCACGAGGGCCACTTGGTAGTGACAGACTTCAACAACCATCGCCTTCTGGTCATCCATCCAGATTGCCAGTCAGCACGCTTTCTGGGCTCGGAGGGCACTGGGAATGGCCAGTTCCTGCGCCCGCAGGGAGTGGCGGTGGATCAAGAAGGGCGCATCATCGTGGCCGACTCCAGAAACCACCGGGTGCAGATATTTGAGTCAAATGGTAGCTTTTTATGCAAGTTTGGCACTCAGGGAAGCGGCTTTGGTCAGATGGACCGTCCTTCAGGTATAGCTGTCACCCCTGATGGCATGATTGTTGTGGTCGACTTTGGAAACAATCGAATTCTCGTCTTCTAATCTGTGTTTGAATTAGGAAGAAACTGTCTCAGGGAAATTCTTCTAAGAGAAAATGAAAAAATACAACGTTAATTCAAACCTACCTCATCTTTAATTTTTTTACAGATGAATGTACTTATCTTTTCTGCAGGGAGTGAGCCTGTAAAAATGAATTCTATCTACCTCATCGTCCTCCTTTCCCTCCCCGGTTTCTCGCCCTCTCCCCATCCCCACACACTCATAGTTCAGAACATTTTACCTCTTTCCCCCCCAATGGGGTTTCATGCACAAACAAGTGTTGCTGTGCACATTAGGTGGTTTGTGTGGTGAGTTCTGTTAGACTTAAGCCAAAAAAGGCGCTATGTAAGTTTTTAAGTGGAGAAAATGGTAGTAGGTGTTTGTAGAGAATTTGTTTTTCTTGACCATACTGCAGTTCTGTGGGTGGGGATATGGGAGGGCGGAACTTATGTTTTGTTGGGTTTTTTTTTTGAATTGCTGCTGCAGCAGAGAACTTTTTCCTGTTCTCCTTTTTATACCTCAGTGTGTTTGATTTACTGGTGAGCACAGCATCTTGTTCCCAGATGACTTTGAACATTTTGTGAAAGTGAGTGCGATTCACTCGCCGGGAAGAGCAAGTTTGCATCTTTTTGGCATTTCTGTATATTTTTTTCTAAAAGACAGTAATATAACAGCACAAAGTGAAGCTGATGAAAATGCACAAAAATTCTTTAAGTTTAAACCAAATTGTTCATTTTAGTGATTTAGTGCTGTTGTTGTAAAGGTTAGATAAAAAGCAAGGCTTCCTTTAATGTATTCTGTCATTGAGTATTTCTTTTTATTCCTTTTCACCTGAAAGCTAAATTAGTTTTAAAAAAGTTAGTGTTTCTTGTCAGTGCACCTAATCTGGGTAACAGGAGGTTACAAGGAGCATTGAAACAGGGAAAATCAAAACCCTTTTGATTTACTTTCTTTGAAATTACTAGCTTTTTTTGCCCCTCCCCATAGAGAGACTTTAAGGGAAATAACATTTGAATTTGTTAGAACAGAAGTGGTACCTTTTTCCGAAAGTAAGAAATAAGCACAGCTTTGGAGATTCAGGGTGTGTTTTGGAGAAGTCAGCTGATCGAGGTTTGTTGTTGTTGTTTAAAGAGGATTGCAATAACTCTATCAGTGACAAAAATATTTTTTTTTTTTTTTTTTTTGTATTCTGGCTTCCCCAAAGAGCTGGACTGAAGAATTTGGGAATGTCTACTGTAGCTTTTAGGGTGGGCCTGTAGCTCACTGCTACAGGATTTCTTGCTACAGATCCAAGTGAAGAGTTACCAGTACCAGCGTAAGGCAAACTGCATCAAGATGAAACTTTGCTGCTTTTTTTCCAGGGCAGTACCAAAGAATTCTGTGTAAAATCCATGTATATGATCCTTAAAAGCTTGGAGGCACGGGAAGTTTGCCCTTTTGGGGATATAAAAACGAGTTTTGTGAAAAGCAGAAACCTTTGGGGAAAATAGAGATCTCTTCAGCAAAATGTGACTTTGAGTCCCTGGAAGGATTTGGTTTTATTCTTCAATTTCTTGCATTCCAGTTTAGCTGTTAATGCAGATACGACCTCTACAGATGTGTAGCTTCACCTTCTGTTGTTGGCAAACAAAAATGGTTAAAGTAGGGAACAGAGGGCTCTTCTCTCTCTCTGCAGTGGAAAAACTCTTGTATCAGTACTCTTAAGGCTTGGAAATGCCACGGGATTTACCTTACTGTTTGCAAGAGATCTCTGAAACATAAACATGGTCATTGTCAAAAAGTCTGAAGAGCCTTAACCATCCTCCAAGGAAAGGGTTCATATCTCTGCCAGCCACCCTGCACAAAAGTGACCTGAGATCGAAAGGCTCTTTACAAGTTTGTGAGAAATCACAAGGTGCACTTTCCTTCTTGCTGCTTTTCCCTCCAAGGAGCATTAACTTTCTGGGTTTTGTAGAAATACTGATGATGTGTGCAGACAGATATAGCTGCCACTTTAGAGGAGGTTTAAACTAAAGGACCAGAAGGAGCCAAAGATTAATGAGATGGCAAAACCTTTCAAAAGAAGGGTGAGGAAAAACACCTAAATTAAATGAGAGAAAACAACTGTGCTGCCTTTCAGCCAAAGCCTCACGGAAACAAACTCTTCAAAGCAGTGTGTTTCAGTTAGGCTTAATCTTAGGATGGCATGGTTTAAAAACAGTCTTTAAAGGATGATGTTTTTTGTGGATGTCTATCATTAAATTTCTGTGGCCACTCAAAATATGTGTATGAGAGAAAGCTAGTTTACCATCAACTTTTGCAAGTTCTGCTTGTGAACATGCCTCCCTTCCTGGGGGTGACCTACAGCTGTGACAGATGTCCATGTTTGTCTTGTATTATTCAGCCCAAGAATTCAGCAACATGGGCTTTGAAAACTAATACCCTTCAAGATCTAGATACCAAAGAAAACTGGTTAAAAAAGCTTTAATGTATAGTTCGCAGTGTCCTCACGTTTATCCTATCATGTCTTAATGAAAATGCCAGGTCTCTTAATACTTTGACCAGAGTGGCTGACAGTGTTGGAGTGTCCTAGAAATGCTCTTGTGCTTTAATGCTTGTCAGGTTCACCCTTTTCTGGGGCTAGAAGGGAGTTGTTTTTCCAGACATTAAAAAAAGAAGTGTGCAGTCGGGATTGTGTTGGACTGGAGGAACCCTTTGTCCCTCTCCAACCTGCACAGCGTAGAAGGTGGCAGACACTTAAGTTGCCCTTTGCTGTTTTGTTTGGAGCCATCGCACAAACCCCCAGTCCAGGTCAGTCAGGAAGAGAAGTGACTTGAACTCTTTATAAGTTGCTGTCTATTTAACTCAGTGGGATTTGCTTGCAAACTGAACCTCAAGTGTTTGACCTCATGTATTGAGGAGCTTTTTCGTTTTAAAAACACTACTATTTAGCTACCCAAAAAGAATTTCTTATCTTTGTCATAGATAGTGCTAAGCACACTTGGCCTCATTGAAAAGTGGTAGTGTAGCTTATAAAATGGAGTGGTTTATATGCAATGAAAAGAAGTAGTGCTAATATACAATGCCAACATCAGCTGCCCCATAGGGGCCTTTAAAAAGTAATGGACTTAAATGAGATTCAAATCTTGCTGTGCTTTTCCATGCATGTTCTCAGGTTAATGCCCAAGTATCATAACATACATGCAGAAAGGAAAAGCAAGGCTTGGAAGCTGGATTGCAAACCAAACAAGCATTCAGAGTAACCTTCTTAGCTAGGGGAAATAGCCTGGAGAAAGGTTGAAGTGAGCATGTGCCTCTCTGTTGGGGAACAGCAAATGTGGGTGACAGAGCTGTCTGCTAGAACTCCCAAAGGATTTTCACTATGCCAGGTTAAACCAGTGGCTCTAGGTAAACCTTTTGTTTGACAAAACGTTATCAGCAGTCAGTATGGCTGGTTTGGGTGTTCAGCCTAGGAGCAATCTTGTCCTTTCTCAGAATTATTTAAGCAGGAACTTCAGTAGCAAACTGAAGCCGATTCAGTACTTGATAACACAGGTCCTTCAGATAACTCACTCCTTTTTATTTAGTACCTTTTAAATATAACTTATTTAAGGAAGCCCATAAACCTTAAATGTTTAAAGAAAGCAAGGGAAGGAAGACAATACCTGAAAACTAATATGTGTTGGGGCCAGACATAATCAAGCTGGGAGAAAGAACGAGGCACTTGGATGTGGCATTCCCTTGGAATTGCAGGAAAGTGGGCCCAGTCTGTTTATGTTACAGTTAAACCAAAATTAATTTCTGAAGAGAGAAGGTTTATAGGCTCATCTTGCCATAACTTTGATCATAAGATTTCATTGTTCAGTTCTAGGTTAAAAAAATACTGTGCCAAAGTTTTGTTTATTTTTTAAAGGAGTGTAAGCCAAATGGTGCCAAAAGGTAATAGGGTATTTAAAAGTAGAGATATTTAACAAACAGTTTGGAACTGTATAAAAAAGGAACACTGGTACTTGAGTTAGACAAATATTGTACCTTTGGTCTTTGAGTCCTTGGGAGTTTGAAACCCAGTTTGCTGTGGTACAAAATGCACAACTAGAGATGCCACTATCTTTTGTTTGAAGTTCTACCTCACTTAGCAGAAGTAAATCATCTACCTCAATTTAGCATCTGACAGGTTTGAGTTGATAATCTGCCTGGGGGAAGGATTCATCCTGCCTATTGGAAAAGCATTTTAATTAAAATGGAGATGCTAAGTGTGTACTATGTGGTGACTGCTTGCTTTTGTTTGCTTTTGTTTTTGCTGCCTGCCTATGGAGATATTAAGCTGCCCTTGCTAGAGAATCTGTAAATAAAACCGAATGTTCAGGCAAACTGGACTGAGACCTGAAACACTTCCAAGTTTGTTCTGGTTTCACTATGAGGCATGGAAGCGTAAACTTTTGTTCAGTATTATGACACTACTAGCTGACATGACATATTTCATGTTCATTTGCAGTGTTCCTATGCCCGTAAGACCTTTAGGTCTTCTCTCTACAAGAGAAAAACTTACGCATGCCTACCGATGTGTCCTGCTTGGAAAGACTGGTGTTACGATTGCTGTAAACACAATGCTATACCAAATGCTTGAAGGGAATAAGATCCTGATTTTTTTTTTTTTAATTGACTTTGGTGATTGTATTAGCTTTCTTGACTCAATGGGATTTTTTCCACCATGACAAAGCAACCAAGTTCCTATTCCAGGAGGGCAGTTTAGGTTCAAACATACTCAGGAGAGGCAGTTTAAAACCACTGTCTTGGGGGTTTATGCAACTTTAGTAGTGATGTGGAACATCCCCTGTGTTTTACCTGTGGAGTAGAGTTGCAGAAGTACATTTTCAGACTACTCAACTGAGGGGGGGGAATCCTTTTTCCTCCCCAGTTCATATTAAGGGGTGGCAAAGTGGGTACAGGGTACCCTAATAACAATAGGCTGTGCTGGGTTTGGTAAATGTTATGGTGGAAAATATACATTGATGTCTCTAAGTGATCTTACGGGTTAACAAGCCAGACTGGCATCTTTTTCCATCATTGTTCAACCAGTAATGGTTCTAAAAATGCTTTGTGTACCTGGATGGTCTTAGACCTTCTATTAATGATTGTATCAACTTACAAACTCAGGTAGATAATTTGTTAAGCTCTTTTTGTAGAGCC